TATGCGGTGACGGATGACGGCGAAGAACTACAGATGGGCTCTTTGTAAAGGGTTGGAAGAATTTAACGAACCACTCGTTACCAGAAATAGTATTTTAACACCTGCTTACAAAATTTCTAGTGGGCCACGCCTGGTTGTTCTATTACCCTCCTATCACGCTTTATTACATGTTAACGCGGTTCCTTCCCAACATAACGTCTGCAGAGGATCTAGTAGTGAAGGAGCTTCGAGCAGCGGCCTGGCTCTGTAGTAGCATGCTGGGCTGCTATGGAGGGGGCTCACATTCGTACCCCCATTCATACTGAATAACTCTCTTTACTTCGTTTTTTTTTCTCTATTATTTTGCGTGATAGTGGGTACAGACACCGGCGGTGGCACCAACGAACCACTACGGCGCTAAACACGGCCCTTGTGACCTCATAAAAAGTTTCGCTGTGCAAAACATTGAAGCTGAGCGGATACACATAATACTATCTATAGGCTGTTTAGTGGGCAGCTTGATACATTAGCAGAAACACAATGAAACCCTAACCATTGCAAATAAGGGCCTTTTGACAAGACTTTAAAACTGTATCATCGATCTCGTAGGCTAGTTTACTGAATATACAACAGTATCAGAGTTCTAAACTACTATCACTTCCTTTAAGTTTACAGTTACATACATTTGCAATATATTTATTGAACAGTCTTTCCCACTACCAGTGCTACAAAATAAACAAAAAGAATCAGCCAGCGCAGGTTATTATGCATTGCCCGCTCTGAAAGTGAAAGGTTTTCTTTTGCGAAGGATGTCTTGCCATGTTCTTCCCCAACTTGAGAGGAACGAACAAAGTGAAGAGGTGAGCGGGAATGGAGAATCTTTGAAAACGTTCCGCGTAGCGTGCTGTAGTGGCGAGTTCGCTGATTTCGCAAATAAAAGAGCGTAGCAGACTGGAAGCAATCTTTTTTCGTCAAGCTCTTTTCAGAGCTTGAATGGCCGCGGCACATGCATGAAGTCTTCTCAGTAGTTCACGTCTGGCACAGGCGACCGTGCTATTCTGCGAGTGCACGAAGCCGATCCAAGGCAATCTAAGCGATTGCAGGAGACGTATGAAGCTGTCTTGCTTTACTCGCATCTATGTGCGAGGTTACTCTTTCGTGATATATTTGCTTTTAGATAACAAGTATCTTCTCTTTTGGAGCGCATCATTAGCTTCTGAGTAATATTCAGACTATAGTATTGAGCCTTTGCCCATATAAGCCTACAAGTGAGGGGCATTCGAAGGGGGGAAGGGGGATGGTGCTGTGCTGGCAACCTATCTAACTAATGACTGAGCCGAGATTGTCTGCCGTGATCTTGTTTAGCACGGAATAGGATAAAAAATTGTTGTTATCAGAGATATTCCCGGTAAACTTTTGTCACTGTCCTCGGTATAGATCCTATCTGCAGCTGTTAGCAAACGCAGAGAAATCAAACCAAGAAGTAAGTGCGAAGTTTGAGGATATTTTACAACCACCAAAAGCAAGAGCGCAGTGGAGCGTTTAATATGAGCACGTGTTTATTTTTGCCATTTTTGCTTGTTTCAGGTTGCAGTAGCATTTGCTTCTGCGGGCGGAAAATCTAAATGGATGACAAGAAGCTTTTGATTAATATAATTCTGCAGCGTCCGAGGAAAAACCTGCTGATTACGGGAACGTACGAAACACTAAGCTCGCGGGAACTTATAGGAACATGGTTTCTCGTTATTGTGCTGAAAGCTTCTACGCACTTGGAATCGATGGTGCACGAGTTCTTGTCGTTCTTACTCTAATAAAGAGTACCACTACATGAAGGCACGTCCTGGGCCCAGTTATATCTTTGCAATAGTGGTTAGTCTGTGGTTCACAGCAAAAATAAAATATTGAAGAACGTCACTTTTTGATGTTTAGTGCCCTCATAGTGAAAACGCACATTCTAGCAGCGTCCAAATAGGCTTAATGCCACACTTCACAAGACGTAGGCAATGCCATGCTAACTTGTTCTGTGTTCAGTGATCGTGATACTTAAACTGAAGGAATAATGAACGCCGTAGTAGCGATATATATATATATATATATATATATATATATATATATATATATATATATATATATATATATATATATATATATATATGTGTGTGTGTGTGTGTGTGCGTGTGTGTGTGTGTGTGTGTGTGTGTGTGTGTGTGTGCATGTATGATTGTTTCAGTTCATAAAAGCACACAGTGATTGTGTTTCCGTAGTGTTTACGAGTCGCTGAGGCGCACATTCCCACGGCCGCAAGGAAACACCACAGCAAACTTGTTTCACGATAGTATTCCTCTATAGTACCTTTCGAAACAAGTTGTGCTTTATTTTCCTGCTTGCTACAGGCGCCCAATGGCCGATGACGACCGCGCAACACCATTTCTTCTTCCGCGAAGCAATACAGCCGACAAAGAATGTATAAAGAAAACAAGACGCGGTGGTCTCCACAACGTGTCTTGGAAGTAAAAGAATCTTTGGACAAAATCATTTGGGGGCCATTCTTTCGTGACCCGTATATATTTCCTTGCTCGTAGTACAGGAACGCTGCGCGCGCTGTATGTCCTCTGTGATGTAATCCGATTGCCGACCACCATCGCTGGAGTTGACAGCGAGGTGAGGGTCTTGTGGAAGAACGGGCTGTTCTGGCACGGCTGAGCCTGTTCGAGGTTTTTGCTTGTTCGACTGTATTTATTTGGCGCATTTTTTGTCCGCGCAGCTTGCCATAGCAGCATCATTTCTTCTTACATATATCAATTTGTTCCTGTTCAGAGATAGCTTTCGCCGACAGGTACTTTCTTGGTCAATCAGGTTTTGATGTACGCTCGTTTTGCGTTAGTCGTATTATCGCTTCTTTTGTATACAAAGTGCGCACGCAATATTCGCTCGTCTACTTGTTAACTTTATATTTCCTTTTGCTTAAGAAGCTTATTGGGGAAGCCTACTGTTACTTGTGAAGCCTGCACCTTGCATGTTAGTGTACTTTAAAGCTCAATCGAATGTAGCAACTAGTCAGTGTTTGAATCGCCTTAGAAAAAAGAGAAAAAATATTATAAAGCCAAAAACTTAAGTCTCCTGAAATATATTAACATTGGCAAGATCTCCGCGCGAGTACAATTTTATAAAAGTATACAAGAAGCAATGCATCATTTTGTGCCAAGACAAATTGTGCAGAGACAAATTCTTACCAACACATCACCATATATATACAGATTATTTGTCTTATATGACATCTGGCCGGCCCGAAGCCAGAGCTTGTGGACAGGGCTCGGGTCCGGCTGCTCTTCCCTGACTATGGTGTGTCTTGCTGAAAGTGAGTAATAACAATAGGTGTTTTTCTCGAATAATGAAAGCTTTGAGCGAATGAATCCTCCTCTCCCACCTTCTTTAGACTACGTGTGCGGCATCCCTCTCCCCCGCCTCCCCAGCTACGTGCCTGGCTTTTGGTACGTACGTATCGCTTTGTGCATGGCTGTGCGTGTGCCGCTGACAACTTACTCCATTCATCATTTGGGGCCCTGTGCTTCTTCCGTTTACGTGACTAGACTTCTATATTCAGTATTTTCTGACCCACTTTTCTCGCTTTCTCCAACTCAGATATGTAGGTTGATTTTCAGTTTACTTATCGAAAAGCATGCGTACGGAGGGTGTACGGTGTATGAAATTTCCAGAATCAGTTCTTGTCTACGTCTCGTTATTCATCGAAGCCAGTGCCCTTTTTTGGTGGATGAACCACTAAAATTTGTTCACACTTTATTGTCACAATATTCCAGCTCCATTTAGGTTTAGTTTTTGTATTAGCCATTATGAGTTCGCCCAAAGCTGTTATGAGTTCACGGGAAGATCCGTTACCAGAAATGATCAGAAAATACCCCGTATACTGCCGAGATCAATATCGGGCGCTTTGCGTGAGAATGAGCTATTGTACCGCAGAGACAGCTTCTTCCGGTGTTCTAAAAAATGCTATATATACAGCAAGGAATAAAGCCTTACAAGCTTCAGTGCATTTAGGGAAAGCACAATGTCGTGAGGCCTTGCTCAGCAGTGCGCTACTTTTCGTTGCCGACAGGACTACAGCTGGCACGCAAACGTAGTGTGTGAGCGCCGCTGTCTAGCCATCTCGGCCTAGCACTGTGTTCGGGCCCCCTGGGTCGATTGTGCCCAAGTGCTTGATACTTGTTTTCCATGGTCTCTCTCTTTTTGTTTAAACTTTGTGTTTATAAGCAACAACATCTTCATTCAGTCCGAGTGCACGTTCTTCAGATACGCACTTTTTCAATGTACAAAGCGAGACCAGAACTATTAAAATAAACGTGTTCCTGTTGAAAAATTACATTCGGTGTTGTTTATTTTACAGTAAGTGACCTCGAAGAGTGTACGATGAGCTAATCATAGTTCGTGACTCTAGCTTACGCTGTAGCCGCGCTGCGTATCCCACGCATGACTGGCAATCTTTTTGTAAAGCTTTCAGCACTGCCACTGTATGTGACCACATCACCGCGGTGGTATAGTGGTCACGTTGCTTGACTGCTGACCAGAAGGTCTCTAAATTAAATCCCGGTCACTGCGGCCGCATTTCGATGAAAGAGGAGTGTCCCTTGTAATTAGATTGAAATCCACGTTATCGAGCCCCAGATGGTCTACAATTCCGAGGCCTTCTACTGTGAAGTCGGTGATAATCATACCGCGCTTCCAGTTCATGAAACCCCACCGAGTATATGTACGTAAACGAATTTTATAAAAAGGCAGCCGTGATTTTAGATGAACCGGCGGTATCTACGGATGCATCAAACTTTACGAAAAGACCAAAAATATTAGCGAAGATGCGCACAAGCATCGCGACTGTTTGTGCGCATCTGTTTGAGCACAACCAACAAGAGCGGACATCAACGCATATTACACAACACATCAGGACATAACGACCTCACGAAAAGCAATCCGAGTGAAGTCCTTATTGTCATGTCGTGCGTACTCACCGGCCCGGACTTTGACGTCCCGGCTGGCGACTGGAGCCGACGCTGTTGGTGGCCACGCACCGGTACAGCGTCGCGTGAACGTCCTGCCGAAAGTCCTTGGGCGCAAACTTGGGAAACACGAGCGATCCGTCGGGACGCACGTATCGCAAGCCGGGAACCTCGGCGGCAGCCACACCGTCCGGCAGTTTGATCCAACGCACGATGGGGCTCGGCCGGCCTACCGCCTGACAGGGCACCACAGCCTCTTTGGCATTTGTGAACTCGACCAGCAAGGGGGGTTCCTCGTGGAAGCGAGGTCCTTCCTGCTCCGATGTGCGCACGGAATCGGCTACAGCTGAAAAGGAAAATGGAAACAGGAAGAGGTGGTTAGGCACATCAAATTAAACCACGAGACAAATAATTGAAGACGCTTCACTTATTTAACGTCATGAAGACTGGTTAAACAGTGAAGCTACTGGCTGAGAACAAAAAAGCGGAAAAATGACGACGACATAGGAAGCAGACAAGAAGAGAAGGCCGGGAGGTTAACCAGAAAAATTTCTGGTTGGCTACCCTATATTGGAGAATTAGGGAAGGAGACAAGAGAGGTAAGAGGCAGGAGGTGAGAGAAGGACGAGGAAATAGAATCAAAGTACACATTCTAGCTGTTTTTGTCAGCTAAGATTCTACCAACTCGTTCAAATCAAAGTCCTGCTCAAGCTTTTGGCAATATATTGCTATTTGATGGCTTGATTTTGCTCCATAGAGTTTTGCCACAATTACCACTGTTCAGCGCACAATGGGCTTGTTAATAACAGTTTTTTATTATTATTGGAGTGGACGTGGGTATAGTGGGGCTTGCCCAACTTCTGTAGCACATACATTATAGGAGCTGCGTTATGCTCTGTAGCAGTTAATCTCTGCATTAAACAGTACTGCTGTTAAATAAACCACTGAAAACATAGCGAACATTATCTGTTTATAATTGTAGTGTAGCATTGCGACAAATTGAAGTGAATTAATGTGGAGGAAAAAATTTTTGCAGGGTGAGGCCTGTACACCGACAGCCTTCGAATTACGCCTGTGGTACTCTACCTATTCGAGATGCGACAGCGTGCACCCAATTGTTCACTTGGATATTTTTGCATGTTTAATCCTTGGGAGTGTTAGTGCCAGTCGTAGTCCAAGGTGGCGAGTGTGCAACACTCATTTAGCCAGCGTGTTTCACGTGTCACAGGATTTATGCGTGATATGGCAGCTGATCAATAAACTCTCACATGCCAACCTGAGGCATCAAGTCGGCTGGAACAAGGCCATAGCTATAAATAACGAATAAAAAACATTCCAAGTTTCTTTTTTTTCTCTGATTTTTGGTTACTACGGGTTTCAAGCATCAAGTACCAGATTCACTATTTTCTTTCATCCTAAATGGCTACTGCCACTCGTAGCTACGATACATGTAGGATTCCAACATGCTGAAACTTTATGCTGCGGACTCTACTAGCGCAAGCATGTTTTGTCGAATATGAGCGTAGAATCATAATGTTTGCAACTTGAATGTTACGTAATATAGTTCTTGCGTACCTATATACAAAGGCTATAACTGACGTCCATACTGGTGAATGTTTCTTGAGGGGTGCACGTATTCCAGGTACAACTATAACAATTTTACGTATCAGGCGCCGGCAAAATAGCTGCTGTCGAACACTTCACACTGTTGCGCGACAATTTCTATATACCCACAATGTAAAAGCTACGGAGAGTTAAGTAGATTTTCGACATTGTTATTTCTATCTCACTCCTTATTGCCTACCCCCCCTCCACACACACCACAAACACACGCACAATTACTTCCTTTTTTCACTCAGCGTATCAACGCCAGGAACGAACCAAGCGGGACTACAGTCTTCCGGTGCACACTTCAACACGCACCGCATCATTCTCCCAGACTGTCCCACCGTTAAACCAAACATGGAATAGAAGCCCGAGTCTAAAAACTACGTGCAAACAAGCAAAATAAAAATAATAAAAGCCAGCTCGGCGTGAGGACAAAGCGCGGGTCAACCGGGAACGTCTTCTTTCGTTCGCGAGACGACAAGAAGAGGATAGGCTTCAGTGAGCAGCCGTCGTCATGGATAAAGAAACAAAAAATGAAAATGAATGAACAGAAAGAAAATACATCATGATACACTTGCGTGCTGATGGAAAGAATCTATACTAGTTTCGTTGTTGGTTTGGCAAACACTATCGCTTGGAGCAACAACTGTGCTCATCGGGGCTTCCGGTGTCAGGGATGTAGAGGGGAGTCTACTTCACTTGGAAGCTCGCGTCTTGTGCGTCTTTATCGAGTCAGGGTGGCACTGGTTGGCGCTGCCACTACTAGAGTCTTCGGGAGTGTCAGCATGCGACATATAGACTACACACAAATCTCTTCATTTGCTTTTATTTTAGTCTTGTGCTGTTCGGTACGCACACTGTCTGGTCATTCCATTAAAGACCCCGAAGTCGCCGAAATGGTGTAGAACGATACTCCGATAGGACACGCGTTCATCGCACTACCGTTGGATGCGCTACAGTCCGAGATTCAGCGTGCTCCAGCTCACTTCCGTGAGGAGTTCCTTTGCAAGAGCGTCACCGTAAAAAAGAGTTTCGACCTACGGTCCCCGGTTCCCTTACATATATCTGCCTTCCATACATACTTTTCTGACTGCTACAGAGTCTGCCATTCCTACAATCACGCGCACTGAGACCAGCGCGGCAAAGAAGGGGCAGAAAAGAAAGGAGGTGCGATGCCTAGCCACCCGTGTCAAGCTGTCGGGGGGAGCGACGAGTGCTTCGACAACTCGAGGAGATACAAGCGTGAAGATTGCGGCCCTCGGAAGAAGAGTGCCGGAGAGCATGATCGGGTGCCCGGCTCGGCCGTCCGGACACGACGGACAGGCGCGGGACGAAGCCCTGCTGCTCTTGGCTTGCAGTGCGTTTCCGCTGCTAATCGATGTGATGACCTCCGCCGTTTCCGCGACCCGCGCCGTTTTAGCTCCGCTTTGACTCGCAAGCTACGCGCTCGTTTACCCGTCTTCTTTGGACTTCGTCTTTTTCCGTCCTTCTCGATGCCTATTGTGGCGGTAAAAAAGTCCACTATGCTCTTAGCAGCACCTAAAGCATGCCCGTTCATTGTCGTTTCAGATTGTTTTTTTTTTTCTGATTTGTTTCCCTTTCTAGTTTCTTCATTCATTTGTTATTGATTGATGATCTGTTGTTGTTAAGCGCTGTACACTCCCTCCACTCCACAAAACGGTGACAGCCAGGCTTTCACATCGTTGTGCTGCCGAAGTCCGTGCCGTTGATACTAACTGTCGCTTGTCTGTTTGTGAGCACGGCTCGGGCACTTGTCGCCATTTGGGACAAAATAAAAAGGACGCCTGTTAGACAATAGAAATGTCCTTCGCGTTAGGCTACTGAGACAGCTCCGTTGTTCTTGCGTTGAAAGAACCCTCCCCTTTTTCTGTTTTCCTTTTCCCATCACTCGTCGAATCGCAACTTAAAAGCGGAGAGCGAAGACTAGAACAACCTAATGAAAAGACAGAGTAAAGAAGCTGGAGACAGAGTGCGCATGGCTTCCTGCACGTCGTGGCAGTTCATATACACTCTTTTATTCCGCTTCGTCCGAGAACAACTGTGCTGTTAAGCTTCCCAATATTTTTGCTTTCTATTTGCTTCCAAGGTGACACCGAGATGGCTTGAAATATCGACTCCACTTTACCGCCTCCCGTTTCAAGCTAAGTCACGCTGTTATTTATTGATCGCTGTTTTTTTTTTATCTTTTATTGATCTTCTCGAAGCTCCTGTCTCCAGTAAATAAAAAGTGCTTGAGCATCGCACTACAATTTTTTTGTCCTATATCTATCGATTCATTCATTCTTCTTACTGTTTTTCATGATACAGTGATTTAGAACTCCAAGTCCTCCTCCGCATCGCATTACGTAAGTTCTGTAGCTCGCTCGAACGCACCATTCTTTTTGATTTAGTTACTTATACTCCTCAAGCGCACATTGCCGCCCACTCGGATAGTATATGCAAAAACTATGCTGTCATGCGTTGAATACTTTTAACTGGGATCATAGTTATCCACAAGGATAACATTTCACGTGGAACGCTTCATTCGTTCACATCCGAAGCGGCATTGATGCAACTTGCATTTTCTCTGTACTTTTTTCTTTTCCGTCAGTTACACTGACTTTTGAAGAAAGAAAGAAAGAAAGAAAGAAAGAAAGAAAGAAAGAAAGAAAGAAAGAAAGAAAGAAAGAAAGAAAGAAAGAAAGAAAGAAAGAAAGAAAGAAAGAAAGAAAGAAAGAGCTCTCTATTTGACTACAACTTTATGTTACGCCAAAAATGATATTTCCGGTTGCATCACCGGCGATATACATTGCGTTTCTCAGAGAGTAATAGCTAAGCAGCTTAGCAGGCCAACGGGCCCAGCGAATGAGCGGAGATGGCAACTGCGCATGCGCTGCACTTTGGTGCAGCAAGTATTTTAACGGAGCGAGCCTCTGACCCGCTCATTAAGTCTCCTCAGCGAAGCGTGAGCAACAGACGAGCGCGAGCGTTTTTCAAGCACACCTCTACTATGCTCGATTGACAATAACTTCAACTTCGCTCAACAGTTGGTACAGCAATTTGCTCCGCTGAAACAAGCGGGGCATCACTCAGCAATTCTTCTTCTTTTTGCTTTACGCTCCACTGCCCCGTCCGCGCCTCCACTGGGTCCACAGGCCCGCTGATCCACTTAGCCATTACTTACAATTGACATAAATATCAAGTTAGTACATCCTTTCAACTATGTTATTTTTTGAGCACCACTTTGTTTTGAGTGGCCTGCATATTTGTGGTAGGGCAGGTCGCGGGATCGAATCCCGGCTACAGCAGCTGCATTGTCGATGGAGGTGAAAATACTGTAGCCTCGTGTGCTAAGATTTTGGTGCAGGTTAAAGAACCCTAGGTTGTTGAAATTTCCGGAGCTCTCCACTACGACGTCTCTCATATTCTTACAGTCGGTTTCGGGACCTTAAAACCCACATATAAATCGAGATTCGGGGTAGAGAACTCGCTGTTTTATACTGTTCAGTCACGATTACGATTGAAAATATAGTGTATTGTTAAACCTTTTCGTTTGTCTCACATATGTTACCCTAACATTCTCTCAAATAATGCAAATTAGATTGACTAAGTAACTTCTCAAACTTACGACAAAGCTTGGTCCTAAGCTTCATAATGTCTGCGTTTAGGTCACTGACTAGTATGAAGGTTTCGTGCTTGTAAGTGTTTCATAGTGCATTATCAATATTGTAATTAATA